AACTCTAAAATTCTCTAAGCTCAGGCCATATAAATGCAAACTATGGATATGTACAACTTCGTGGCAATGGTATCTACATTTTATCTTCACAAATCAGAATCAAATGATGCTTGTATGAAAATATAGAAGTTTGAAAACTTACCTCTTGCAGCTGGAGTCATGTATGGAGTTTGAGTAACCTTTGAGATGGCCTGATGATTTCTGTAGCTTGCTTGGACCTCCTTGAATGTGTTCCAACTCCTACTTTGCTTTGAGGATGGCTGAAACTCCCAACTCAAGTCAAGTTGCAAGCTTCAAATTTGGAAATGGTGGATAGTGATGGAGGAGTTACAGTCTTGAAACAGAGGCATGGATGAGTTATATTTGATTTTTAGAAGCTTTAGGAACCAAAAGGCTTTGAACGCACGAGGGAGATGTGAGTTTCAAGTTTTTGGTCTGATTATGCAAGAATGGAGTTTTGTGTTACAATTCTGAGTTCTAGAGAGTTTGGGGGCTTGTGTATGCGTGTGTTTTGATGCAAATGACTTGTACATAAGTAAGGAAAAGGATGTGGGGCTTGAGAGGGTCAGAATCACACAAGTACAAGTTATGGCTATGTTACTTGATTTTGAAGAAAAGTGAAAACACGGTTTCAAGATAGAGTACAAGCATGGGCTGACTTGTTAGAGGCTTGAGACAAATTTCTTTTAGGTTATAAGTTGTGTATGATCAGAAGAGAACATGTGCAAAGCTCAAGAACTGATTTTGTGCATAAAGCTACTTTTCCAAAATGGCAATGTGCACTTTCTTTCCAAAATGGCATTAAGCATGGGCAATGCATTGAATGCTTAAGTTAAAGTCTCTAACAGCTGTGCAAACATTTAATTATGGAGTGCCAAACAAGTTTGAGTCCTGAAAAGCAAAGATTGTGCAACCTAGCATGGATTTGAATTTTTTCTCTTCATGAAAATGACCTATAATTCAAGAATGAAATGCCAACTTCATGCCTTTGATTCTCCTTGCTCAAACATGATCCCAAGGAGTTCTTGGATATTTTAGAAAGCTTGTAATGTGCTCTACAATCCCTCTTTGAATCACTTTTGAAAATTCCCCTTAGAAATATATGAAAAATTGCCATGAAGTTAGGTCAAAATCATGCCTAAACTAGGGCAAAATTTTCACTAAGTGTTTAGTTTCATGAACATGTATTCACAAAATCATAACTTGAAATCCATGCATTTATAGGAGAAGTTGTGTAAATCAATGTTTTATATCTCATTGAGATCTACAACTTTCATGTTGAAAGTTTCCTTTGAATCATCTTGCATCATGGTGAAAAAATGGCTTAAAGTTGTGAAAAAACATGAAGTTTTCAACACTTAGAAAAATTTCTAAGTTTGGAAACTTTGACTTTTCAAAATGAAATCTTGACTTTTTGATTTCTTGATGAAAAAGTTTCATATTTTGACATGTTTTGGTGAATTGTGATCTTTGACACTTGATTTTGACCAAAAAGTCAAAGTTTGACTTTTCAGTGTACAGTTAACTTTTGATCTGTTGATTGAAAATCAACTATCAATCAATTGATTTTGAGGGATGTTTTGAGTCATGCCATTAGGTAAAATTGATGAAATTGAACTCTTGAGATCATTTCTCAAACCAATTAACCATTTGCTAGGTAAAAAATCAGAAATTGCCCTTTCTCAGTCAAAACCCTAATTTTGACCATTTTTCCCTTTTGATGATCTGATCAAATTTCTTGAGGAATTATGGTCCAAACTTGATAAAATGACATATATGAGTTCAAAATGTTGATATGGATAAAAAATTATGAAGTTTGACTGTAAATTGACCACATTTGGCTTTTTCCCCAATACAACTGATTTTTAGGTCAACTAATCAATTGATTGAGCAAAAATGTGATCCAAGACTTGAAACTTGACATGAGCAATCTTGGGGGTCTATAATGATTCATGAAAGTCATATGAGGCGTTAAAAGTTCAATTATCCTTGTGCAATCTCAAACCCTAATTTCAGTCATCAGTGTTTAAGGAGGTGTCTTGAGCTGATCAATCCTTGTGCAGTCTTGAACCAAAGGAGATTTTGTGAGAAAATGCTTGATAAATGAGAGGGAATTTTTTTGGGTACAACACCTTCCTCATTAAAAAATCTAGCAAATTCAACAGAAGCATATTCACCACCACCACCAGTTCTCAACTTCTTCGATTTGCATCCACTTTGTTTCTCAACATGCAACTTGAACTTCTTGAAATGTGTGAATACCTCACTCTTCCTTTCAATAAGGTAAATCCACATATGTTTGATGAATTCATCAATGAAAGTAAGGAAATACATGTTACCTCCATTTTACTTTACTTCAAAAGGTTCACACACATCAGAATGAACCAGCTCCAGTTTTTGCTTTGAATTCACGGACAAGTCATGTTTGAATGCCTTCATAGCCTGTTTTGCTTTGCAGCATTCCTTGCATACCTGCTTTGGTTCCTTTACACACGGAAACCCAAACACCATCCTTTTCTGATTGAGCATGCATAAACTTCTGAAGTTTAGATGTCCATACATGTGGTGCCATAGCCAGTTTTTGTCTTCTTCAGTAGTTAAAGCAAGACATTTATGATCTGATGTGTTGAGTTTAACTTTGAAAGTTTTATTTTCCTCTAATGGTGTTTTCATTATTAGCTTCCCATCAGTCCTATATACCTCCATATGATTCTTCTCCAGCTTCATATTAAAACCTTTTGCAAGTAATTGACTTACACTTATCAAGTTACTTGTCATAGAAGGTACATACAACACTTCAGTGATAGTGGCCTTTCGACCATCCTTCCTAACAATCAAAATATCTCTTTTACCACCTTATTTGATGTGCCTGTCATCTGCAAACTTTATCACCTTTTTGACTTACTCATCTAACTTGGTAAACCAATTTTTATTGTCAGTCATGGGGTTGCTGCATCCTGAATCCAGATACCACATGTTGTTTTTCTCAGTGTTCGACTGAGTGTTAACCATTAACAGCACATCATTAGAATCATTATCTCCAGCTCATGCATATTGAACTTCATCACTATCTTTCACCCTCGCTACTTTCTTTCTTCGACAGTCTTAAGCATAGTAACCAAAACCTTAACAATTGTAACATTGCACCTTTTTCATGTTAACTTTCTTCCCAGAATACTTGTTGCCCACACCTTTCTTGATCAAATCAGTATTCTTGCTTGACTTCTCATCACTAGCAAGATTCTTTCGCTGCTTCAACTTCTCTTTTCCAACTTTCTTGTTGAACCTTGATTGCAATGCATGTTCAGCCACCTTCACTCTTTTTGAGTTTCTCTACTTCAACCTCATCTCATGAGCCTCTAATGAAGCTTGAAGTTCTTCTAACTTCATCTCAGATAGATTCTTGGCCTCTTCAATTGTCACAATAATATAGTCAAAATTTGCAGTCAAAGATTTTAACATTTTCTCAATCTTCTGCAGATTCGTAACTGATTCACCACATGCCTTCATCTGCTTTGTTAGCGTCACAATTCTTGAGAAATATGTAGAAATTGATTCATCTTCTTTCATTTGAATCGTCTCATATTGCTTCCTTAGCGTATGCAACTTCACCTTCTTCAATTTCTCATCTCCACCATACAAGTTCTTTAACTTGTCCCACACTCCTTTTGTCGTTTCTTCTTCAATTATCTTCTCAAATACATCAGAATCCACACAATGGTGAATCAAGAACAGTGATTTACCATCTTTCTTCCTCTGATCTTTGTGCGCAGTTTTCTGAGCCTCCGTCGCATTTGCTTCCAGTTCTGGTAATCCATCATTTAAGATTTCAACAACATCTTGAAATCTGAAAATAACCTTCATATGTGCAATCCATCGTTGATAGTTTTCTCCTTTGAAAATCGATGGATTTGTTGGAAACTGCGTTGACGTTGTTGTTCTGTTTGCCATTAGATTCTCTCTGAATCACGATCGAGCTCTGCGGTACCAATTTGTTGGAACAAAGGATTTTCAAGAAAGATGATTAATAAAAGAAAGAAGAAGAAGAGAAGAGAGAAAGAGAGAGAGATTGAAAGTTAGTTATGATTCTTACTAGATTGTTATTGTGAATTGTGGTTTCATTAAATGTTGTGTAAAATTACAAACTAACAAGCCTTTTATATAGGCATACAATATTCAGGCCCAATTCAACTAACTACATGTTATAGCCCAAAAACATGCTTTCAAGACACTACTATAGTTATTGTATTAGACTCTGTCGAATACAACTTACAACCTATACAACAAACTATTTCGACATACACCTTATTTCCTTCGACATTTCGACTGAACAAGAATTATACTATCTAATATTTTTTAATAAAAATATGACAAATATATAATTTTCTCTCATATATATATATATATATATATATATATATATATATATATATATATATATATATATATATATATATATATATATATATATATATATATATATATATATATATATATTTCTCCTATTTTTATTTTTTAAATTAAATAATATTTATGCATATCTATGAGTATATTTTTATTGAAAAATAAAAAGAATCACGTTTGATTTTATTTTATTTTTAAAAATCAACTAATCTATTAAACTGAATTTTTTTCTTTTTCGGTTCAAATAATTTTGAATGTAAAACCCTTAAAATTTGCAAATCCAAAAGACAAATATAATAGCAACAAATAGAACAATATTTTTTTTACGAAAAGCGTTTGTCCTGGAAATAAAAAGAAGATGGAGTATAAAATAAAATAAAAGAAAAAAGTTTGGTTTTAATGGCGTCTGACCCGGGTATGAAATCTCCTAATTAACAACCCAAAAACTCGGCGGTTCCAATCAATCGCATAAAAAAGAACTCGCCGCCGCTATTTTGGTCTCTCAACTGGCCGGAATACCTGCGAGAGCTGCCCTGCAAACAAATTGCCTCGCAGCAGATCTCCATTCTTCTATTGCTATCTTACCAGCCATTATCATGGTCAATGCAACAAAAGGCGTTTTCATTTCCTGGTTCGTTCCTTCCTATCACTCACTCCTTCCCTTTCAATTTTAATCACTTATTTTTCGGAATAATTCACTACCGCTATGCTAAATACTCTATTTCTTGAAATAAATTGATTATTTCTTGCAATTGTGTTGCCATTTACAATAATTTAGGGTTTTTCACTTACTTGATCTTTCTTAGCATCTAATTTGTAGTAATAGGTTTTTTTTTTTGTTTTTGTTGTTGTTGTTGTACAGTGACATACCTATGGCTCAATATATCATAAATATGAATGCTTCAATGCCGGCATGTGACAAGTTCATTATACATGTCTTGGATAGTACTCACATGTTTGTTCAACCCCATGTCGAGCTTATGATTCGGAGTCAAATTGCAAAGTTTAGAGAAGACAATACTTATGTCAAGCCTTCTTGATTCTTCTATCTCAGGACAATGCGTTTCTTCTATGTCAATTTCGTCTTAGGAATATATGTTATATTATTATGTTGGAAAACGCTCTTCTATTGATGTTGAGACTGAAATGCCTTTTGAAATGTTGTGTAGACACGTGATACAACTATTTTGGTTAAATTTATGAGGAACTGGTGCATCCTAAACATGGCCAAGTTGCTAAATGACATCATAGAACTTTGCTAGTGATGACAGATTGTTAAAAATAAACCTTTTCTGCTATTTAATTTTAGACAAGTATGCAACTACCAACTTCATAACATCTATGTTCAGCATGAGTGTATACACTATATTGACTTTGAAGTTGTTTTGTTTGTAAAGGCTGCATTTGTTGGCAGAGAGGGCTGAAATATTAGAGTAATGTTAAAACTATTGGATAGAGGTAACTAATTAAAAAGTGTCTTCTAGTTTTGGCATTTCAGGTATTATGATTGATTTTTCAGACCTGGCTTGATTGTAAACTACTGATGTTGTGTTCACGGGAGATACTTACAAAGTGAGTCATGTCCCAAAAATTGACAGCACCCCTTAACAGCTTGTCAACATGAGTAACCTCCTATCTATATAGAGTTCTTTACATGATATTATGCTTTCTTTCTCATTCCAAATGTTAGGCAAATTGCTATTATGATGATGATTTCATTCTTTCTATGCTGGTGTGGTGCAACAAAAAGTTGGGTGGAGTAAATAAGTAATATGTAATATTACCTCATAAAGGCCTATACTAGATATGATTTCTATTTTCTATTGATAATTGATATAACTTAGTGTCTTGATAGCATATGGAAAAATTTCACATGCTTGTGTTGTGTGTGCGCGTGCGCGGGTGTGTGTTGTGTGTGCGCGGGTGCGGGTGGGGGTGTAGGGGCGCGGGTGTGTGCGCGCACATGTGCGCGGGCGCAGGCGCGTGTTTGTGTCTGTCTGTGTGTCTCTGTGTCTGTCTGTCTATGTGTGTGTTTGTCTGTGTTTGTCTGTCTTTGTGTCTGAGTTTGTCTGTCTCTGTGTGCGTTTGCATCTGTGCGTGTGTTTGTATGTGTCTGCGTCTGTGTTTGTGTGTCTATGTATGTGTCTGCGTGCGTGTCTGCGTGCACGCGTGTATAAATCAGGATCGAAGGTTGGGAACTCAATCAGAATTGAAGGTCACAAAACACATTTTTTATGCATGACTACATTTTTGTCTTTATTTGTTTATGATGGATTTTTGTTTCACATTTCTTTGAAGTGTTTCAGGGTTTTTTTTGACATGGTTTGTGTTTCAAAACGAATGTGAAAAGATCAATTTAGCATTTAGGGTAAAACAACAAATGATTTCACAAGAGCAAGTAGAAAGTAATGATTTTTATTGATGTACTAGAGTTCGAATGAGATCTAGTAGTATAGAAATTGCAGTAAATTGTATAAGATGAAAGTGGAAAAAGAAGGAGACACTTTGAGTCCACTAAATTCAGGCATAATAATAATAAATTCTGTCCAAATCATTTATTCACTCAATCCTTGGTTCATTCCTCACTGAAAAGCTGCTACCTGTCTAAGCCATGTGCAACACTTACAAAAATTAGATTAAGTGTGATTCTCCTCTATCTCTTTCTTCTTACTTGTCCTAGTGTAATATCTCCCATATCTACTAATTCTTTCCCCTTCAAAACTCTCATTAACCCCAAGGAGAACTGTTTGAAATTTTGCTTGTATCTTATATCCCAATTCCTATGAATTTTCAAAGTCTGGTAAGTTCTTCCATTTAACCAGCACCTCTAGCTCTCCTTATTCATTCTGTCTAGTGGTTATCACCTTAGGAGCTAATTCAAGATGCTATTCTTCACTCATACAAACTGGTAATAGTTGTGGTTCCATAGAAGGTGAGACTGCCTTCTTTAATAAGGAAGTATGAAAAATTGGATGCACTCTGGTATCTTCAGGCAGCTTCAGCTTATAAGCAACCGCTCCTATTTTCTATAGTATTTCATAGGGTCCATAGAACCTTGAACTAAATTTTTGATTTATTCTCTTAGCCAATCTCTTCATCTTATAAGGCTGAATCTTTGAAAACACCATCTCTCCTACTTCATATTCAACCTCTCTTCTATGCTTATTGATCTGATTTCTCATAATATCTTGTGCCTTAAGTAATTGCTCTTGTAGCTCATTGATCGTAATGTTTCTTTCAGCTGTTAATTTGTTGACTTCATCCGCAGCTGACATAAAAGTGTCCCCCTCTAACCAACACGTGAGGTGCTCTTCCATATAAAGCTTTAAAAGGGGTAGTTTTCAAGGATGCGTGATAATTGGTAATATACCAATATTCTGCCCAGGCCAACCATTTGGGCCATTACATAGGTTTTAACCCTGTTACACACTTTAAATAAGTCTCTAAGCATTTGTTTACCACTTCAGTTTGACCATCTGATTAGGGATGGTAAGCACTACTGCACTTTAACTTAGTGTTTGCTTGTTTGAACAACTCAAACCAAAAGTTGCTTAAGAAAACCTTGTCTCTATCAGACACAATGGAGCTGGGAAATCCATGTAGCCTAACCACCTCTTTAATGAATAAGTCAGCAATGCCTTTTGCTGTATATGGATGCTGACGGGAAGAAAGTGAGCATATTTGGTCAGCCTATCCACTATCACCATAACTGTATCTACTCCTTGAACCTTGGGGTAGCCCTCAAATGAAATCCATAGATATGCCACTCTAAATTTTTGTGGGAACTGGTAGAGGTTGTAGTAACCCTCCAGGTGTGAGTGTTTGGTATTTATTCCTCTGGCATACTTCACAAGCCTACACATAGTTTTGGATCTGTTTCCTCATGTCTTCCCAATATACCACACTGGTTATTCTTTTGTAAGTCCTTAACCGTCTTCAGTGTCCTCCAATGGCAGTATCATGAAACTCATTCGAAATCCATGAGATTCTAGAGGATTGCTTGGGAATCACTATTCTCCCTTCATGATACAACCTTCCACCTTTGAGTTGAAATCCCTTCTGACTGTGAGGGTCAGAAACCAATGATTGAACTATCACCCTCAATTTTTCATCTACATGCACTTCCTCTTCTAAACCCTCCCAAGCCTCACACTGGATGGTAGAAATCTGATTATGCTGCATTTGCCTAGACAAGGAATCTGCTGCCCTGTTTTCATTTCCAGGTTTATATTTAACTTCAAAATCAAATCCTAATAACTTAGATAACCATTCCTGTCGATCCTCTCCCATGATTTTCTGCTCAATTAGGAATTTTAAGCTTTTCTGATCAGTATGTACCTTGAAGTGTCTTCCCAACAAATAAGGTCTCCATTTCTGAATAGCAAGCACAATAGCCATCAGTTCCCTCTCATAAACTAACTTCTACTGGGCCCCTGTCAGGTAGAGTTTGGCTCATGTATGAAATTGGTCTTCCTTCCTGCATTAACACTGCCCCAATTCCTTTTCCTGATGCATTAGTTTCCAGAATAAATTCTTTTTCAAAGTCTGGCATTGCTAGAACAGGCAGAGTGGTCAGGGCTTCCTTCAATTTTTCAAATGACACTTGAGCTTCATTGCTCCATTTAAAGGTGTCTTTTTTTAGCAATTGTGTGAGAGGCCAAGCAATTATCCCATAATTTCTCACAAACTTCCTATAATACCCAATTAAACCTAAAAATCCTCTCAACCCTTTTAAATCTTTAGGTATGGGCCATTTCTCCATGTCTGTTATTTTCTTAAGATTAACTAACACCCCTTTTTTAGAAATGAGGTGTCCTAAGTATTCAATCTCACTTTGACCAAATGAACACTTCTTTCTGTTAGCAAATAACTTCTGATCTCTCAAAACAGTCAAAATCAAAGTCAAATGCTTCTAATGTTCTTCCATACTCCTGCTGTAAATGAATATATCATAAATAAAAAAATAACACTTCATTCATTAAGGCTTGAAATGTTGAAGGTGCGTTTGTTAAACCAAAAAGCATCACTAAATATTCATAGTGTCCTTCATGTGTCCTAAAAGCTGTCTTGGTTACATCTTCCTCCGTCATCCTAATTTGATGATAATCAGATTTTAAATCTAACTTTGAAAAGATTTCAGCCCCTCCCGATTCATCTAACAATTCTTCTATAATAGGGATATGAAACTTATTAGGAATGGTTACCTTATTCAAAGCCCTATAGTCAGTGCAGAATCTCTAGCCACAATCCTTTTTTTTCACCAACAAAATTGGGCTAGAGAAAGGGTTGGTGTTGTGTCTTATGATCCCATCCTGCAGCATGTCAGCCACTATCTTCTCAATTTCATTCTTTTGGTAAAAAGGGTACCTGTAAGGTCTGATGTTTGATATGGTAGCATCCCCCTTAAGCCTAATAGCATGATCATGTTCCTCTTAGGAGGTAATCCAATAGGCAGTTGAAACACTCCTTCAAATGGACTCAGGACATCTTCCCAAGTTTGCACTTCAGTTTTTGTGATAAGTGGGTTTGTATTTATGCATCTGAGGTAAAACCCAATGCCTTCATCATTTAAATCCTTGATCATAGATTTCCAAGAGGCATGCTTTGTGCATAGAGTTGGATCCCCCTGTATCTTATACTCCTGTCCCTCCTACTTCCATTTCAAGCATAATTCCCCAAAGTTTGCCTCAATGTTGTCAAGGTTAGCCAACCAATCTATCTCTAACACCATTTCTGATCCTCCTAGTTCCATTAAGAAAAAATGTTGATCTGGAACTTCAATCCTTTACAAATCCCTTGGTTTTTGACCTTCTCTCCATTTCCCACTTTTATCACATATGTTGGAGTTCCCATCACCTTTAGTCTCAGCTTTTCTACCACCCTTGTATCTATAAAGTTGCTAGTAGTTCTTGAATCAATTAGTGCCAATAACTCTTCATCTTGAACTGTCTCCCATACCTTGAAGGATTTGTTTGAAGTAAACCCTTCCCTACTCTGCATTGACAGTTGCAGTGTTTTCATCTCCACCACCTTTTCTTCTATTGGATCTTTTGGTGTTTCTACTTCCCCTTTTTCTCCTTCCTCATCACTACTAATCTCACACAATTTTAAACTCATGTTTGAATTTACGGATGTGTTTCCGATTCCATTTGTCCCTACAATTAAAACATAACTCCTTCTTACTCCTTTCTTCTAATTCTGCAAGATTTAACCTTCTTCCTTAAATTTTTCATTCCCCTCACTACTAGTCTTTTCTCCCTCCTTTTTATACCCCCAACTTCTTCAGAATCCCTAATCTTCAGAGAACTTCCTCATCTGTCTCTCCATTACCCATCTTTCTTATGAAGAACTTCGTTCTTCTCTTCAATCAACAGGGTTCTCCCATGAGTTCAACTGACTTTAACTCTCATGGAGTTTTAATTCAGCTTGAATCTCTTCTTTCAGTTCGTTCAAGAAGATAAAATCCAGCATAATTCTCTTTTCTCTTCTCAACGGAGCTGCCATCATTTCAAACTTCCCATGTTCTCCACTACTGACCCTTTTTGCCTCAAGCTTAGAAATGGTCCCATTGGATTATGTAATAATCTCGGTTGAAACCTCTTGATTACTGCCACTTTAAACTCTTCTCAAGTCCTCAATGGTGCCTGTTCCTCCCACCATTGAAACCAATTTAAAGTTTTGTCTTCCATAGCCAGCATCACTAGTTCTAACTTACCCCACGTTTGCACCCCATACAAGTGAATATACCTTTCAACTCGCACCAGTCACCCATACGCGTCTTCGCCTTTGAAAATGGGTATTTCCAACCTTCGTCTGCTTCCAAAGAATCGGGCTCTGTTTCCACCCCTTTGACGACGGTGTCTTGGTCGCGATTCATGAGAAATCGTACTCCATTCTCTTTCGTCCTCGTCGTCGCCATCGTAACCATTTCTCACATGTGGTCGTCCATTTCTAGCGTGATTCCGCACTGGTTGCTCCAAAATCAGTTGACGAATCTGCTCCACCGTGACTTGCGGTCGTGCCTGCTGCTCCATCACCAACTGACAGATTTGCTCCATCGTTCCCTCGAAATTATCCATCTTTGTTCTATTGTATCCACTTTGTTTTCCATGATTCTTCGTGTCAAGACCATTTACAGTGCTACAAAACCAAGGCTCTAGATACTAAATTGATAAGATCAATTTAGCATTTAGGGTAAAATAGCAAATGATTTCACTATAACAAGTAGAAAGTAATGATTTTTATTGATGTACTAGAGTTCGAATGAGATCTAGTAGTACAGAAAAGTGCATAAATTGCAGTAAATTATAGAAGATGAAAGTAGAAAAAGAAGCCTTCGAGAGGCTTTATCTCTCCTATGGGAATATCTCCACTAAATTCAGGCATAACAATAATAGATCTTATCCCGATCATTTATTCACTCAATCATAGGTTCATTAACAGAAATTAGATTAAGTGTGATTCTCCTCTTTCTCTTTCTTCTTACATGTCCTAGTGTAATATTTCTCATATCTACCAGAATGTCATTCTTATTTTTCAATGTAGAAATAATTATTATTTTTTCAATTGTATCCTTTAATTATTTATTCTATACACTGTTTCCAATAGATTAATAAGGTTAATTTAATAAAAATACAATATTTTATAACACTATCATTGTATTCTTAATTTGTATGCAAAAACCTTAAACGATATTCATTTTGAAACGGATGAAGTATTATATATAAGGTTTGTTTTGAGTGGTTAGTTTTGTTTCTAGTGGTTAAGTTTTGCATTCTGAGTAATTAATGATGACATTGTTAGATTGAACTTTTTTCTTTCTCTTACTCTAGTTGCTTGTTGGCTATTTTCCTTTATCACATAATGTGAGCCATTTGAGTATTATTCAGATGGTGTTTGTAAAACTTCATAGAATGCTAGTATGCTTGTTTTATCCATATGTATACCAGAAAGTATATAATATTGGTGTGTGGTATAGAAAGATTTACAGTGACTTTTTAGTGTTTAAACTATAATTCCAAGTGACAAAGTGAACAAAGAAAAGCAGTTTATTAGAGAGCTAATTAGTACTGATTAAGTGGAACCAGTATAGTGTATGGCTATGAATAGCATCCACGCCTAATTGAATGTTTTGGTATTAAGAATCGTATCAATTAGGTATTAAGGTTATGGTTGGATATGGTAAAAAGAATGGAGCGGTATGGAATAAAGATATTAGTATATTGTTTGGATATTTCTTGATGGAATATAAAATAGAGCAATTTTGTGATTTCGTTTAAATTGAAAAGAAAAATAAATAATAGAAAGTAATAAATGAAATGAAATACATTTCACCTGATACCGTTCTATTTCATCGGTTTTTAATCAATTCAAACGATAGAATATAATTTTATTTTATTTCATTTCATTCTATTCTATTAATTCAAAGATACTAAATGATTGATTTAAATGATTTTATTTATTTATTTATTCTATGAGTTGCTGAGATTCAAAGGAAGGAGGTAGCTTTTTATGCTTCGGTTGAGTTTTGGTAGTCAAGATTGTATCAATTTGGTATTAAAAAAATGCTTATTATCTAATACAAAATGTATAAAAATGATCAAAAAAATGTTTTTTTATTAAAATATTAGAAAAAGTATAACAGATCAATTTATCATAACGAACTGTTCTGTTCGGAAAAAAATGATTTGGTTTAGTTTTCTGATAACCATAAAGAATTCTAATCTCCACCTCACCCGACCTTCAAGCTATCACTATGAAATACAATTTCTCACAGCAACTAATTCCAATTAAATATTATATAAAAAGGTGTACATGTACTATTATTGTGTATTGAAGACACTATCACTATTAATTGTTTAGAATTTTAACAGATAACAACCGATGGATTACCTTAATGCTCATTACATTGTATTGACCACATTTTTCCACTTGATTAATCGATAAAGGACGAAGGTTTTCATGTATCACTATTGTATTGAAGATATTACAATTACAACTATGAGTAGTTTAAATTTTTGATTACAAATCATGTAATATATCCATTGAGTATGAAAATCACAGTCAACATTGTCAAAATATTATGTTTCAATATTTTCGTACTGATCAAATAAAATTGAATATTCTTATATACACATGACATCAATGCTACATTATCACTACCTCATTCATTCATTGCTCATCTATAATATAAGAAAAATTGTTGTTATGGAAATCACATAAATATCCTTTCTTCATATTTTGTCATATCATAGAATTGGGATAAAAAATTGTCCATTTTTAATTATTTTCAACTAAAACAAATACTGAAATAATTGATATATAATTATAAAGGTTTTGAAATCAAATAACTTCGTTTCAAACTACGCGCTACTCAAACAACTTTTCAATAGTCAAATCAATCAATTTTTTTGAAACTTTCAATGTTGCATTAAAAACTCATATTCTTACTCTGCTTTCAATATTCACCAAATTCATTTGCTACATGAACAAGTTCTTCTCTCTTCAGTTTGGGTTTCAAAAACGCACGTATTCTTCTTTTTTCGCCTGAATCAACTTCTCCATCTCATCTCCCACTTTTAATAATGAGCAAACAAGCTAATTCATAACCAGCTTTAATTTTTTTCATTGTGGTTAATTTTTTCATTATTCAAAATTGTGTTTTTCTTATTCTTTGATTACCCACATCTCACAATAATACTTCATAGTTCTTTTTCTTATTCATTGAGGTTGCTGAGTTGGTAATAATACTTCAATAAATAGAGACACTGTTCACAATAATACTTCGAAGATATTCCTATTTTTACACAAGAGGAAACTTCTAAAAACAATATATGATATGTTTGATCACAGACCAGTGTTTGGATCTTTTTCCACTGTTGCTGTAATAGATTTTGTAATAATAACTTCTACATGTGCTTTGCTAATTTCACTTTTTTTTTCGTTTTTGTTTTGTTTTTCTATTTCTTTGCTTCAGATCTATTACCTCAATGTGAATTTGTGGTAACTGATTTTACAGCCACATGTAAAGATTGATCCTCTCTTTATTCATCATTTTGGTCAGCATCGTGATACACAATGGAAGATCTACAACGGACAATATAAATTTTTGATATTGACTAAAATAAAAATATTACAAATCAACTAATTACAACTGGTTAGACGAAATTTCTTAATTATTAATATTTGTCGTACAAACTTCATCTGATTTTCTACAATATTAGGTGAAGGTTGTTTTTGTTTATGATAAATGATAATAAAGAACTTAAACAAGAAGAGATTCCTCATTTCAACACCCTATCAATTCCAAATCCAACTAAAATTTCTTTTAAAATATATCTATCACCCTATCAATTCCAAATCCAACTAAAATTTCTTTTAAAATATATCTATAAGGTTATACAAAATGTGGTGATTGTCGTGGTTGGGAATCCATTAAATATCTATGATGAATTTCTATCAATTTCGATGAAAAAAATTGATATCACCACACGATACTAATAAATTATGAGAAAAGAAAAGTTTTCTGCCCACAAACGGTAGAAAACTTTATTAATCACTTGCAACTGCAAATTCTGTGATAACAATGAATTGACTTAAATTACAAAATTAGGGATTACTCCCTCTATTTATAGATTTAGATTAACTTGTTCCCTAAGTCAAAGCCCAAAACTATAAAAGCCCAAAATACCTATTTTGGTACTAAATCAAATATATTTGTTTTAGATCTAAATCAAATTTATCTAAATCTAAAACCAATCAAATTTGTGTGTAGCTTGCTTCAATCCACAAACTCTTCGACTGGGCAACCTCCCTTCGACACACACACTATTTCGACACAATCGAATTACAATTTAACACACCACCTAATTCATTGTGTCTAAACTATCTATATTCATCATGGTTCTTAGTCTTCTGAATACTTTGACATGCACTCCCTTCGTCATGATGTCTACAACCTAATTCTCAGTTTTGCAGTGTTCCAAATTCATCTTCTCATCTGCTACCTGCTCTCGAAGATAGTGGAGTCTCATTTCGATGTGCTTGCTTCGACCATGTGCTATCGGGTTCTTCGCCAGATTGATAGCTGACATATTGTCGATCTTCATGGTAATTGCTCCACTTTCCTTGTTATCTCTTCGGCCAAGTTCACCATCCAAGTTGCTTGACATGCACAAATAGAAGCAGCTACGTATTCTACTTTGCATGATGATAATGCCACTACTGGTTCCTTTCGTGAACTTCAAGCAACTAGTACACCACCTAACATAAACACATATTCTGCTGCTGATTTTCGATCTTCAGCATCACTACACCAACTCGAATCAGTGTATTCCACTAACTTGCATTATTTTCCTTTATCAGCTGCAAGAAACAAAATGCCATAGTCTAGAATTCTTTTGAGATACCTTAGTATCCTCTTCACCGCTGCTAGATGTGATACCTTTGGCTTCTGCATGAATCTACTTACCATACATACACTATATACTAAGTCAGGCCTTGTATGATAAAGGTATCTCAATGACCCAATAAGTCTTCTGTATTGGGTTGGATCGATATCATCTTCATTTGCATCTTTCGACAGTTGTAGTCTTAGTTCTGCAGGTGTCGAAGTTGAGTTGCATTCTTCCATCTCAAAATCTCTTGAGAATTTCTCCTGCATATCTTCTTTGATGCATCATCAAACCTCTACTGCTCTTGTAGAATTCGATGCCAAGGAAATATGAAATCTCACCCAGATCAGACATTTCGAATTCCTTGCTGAGATCACCAATGAAGTCTTCGATCTCACTTTTGCAGCTACCTGTTATCAACAAATCATCGACATAGACATAGTATAAGCAATTCACTATTGCTTCTTCTTACATATACTCCATGTTCAGTTGTGCACTTTACAAATTCTTTCTCCCTTAGGAAACTATCAATTTTCTTATTCCAAGCTCTTGGAGATTGTTTCAATCCATACAGGGCTTTATGTAGTCTGTACATATTTCCCTCGTCGTCATGTTTCACAAATCCAACTAGTTGTTTAACATAAACTTCTTCATCTAAGAGTCCATTCATGAATGCACATTTCACG